AAGTAATCCCAACAATTATGAAACAAGAGATTCCTCGAAACCCAACTTTTCTTCGTATATTTTATTGTGGCAAAATTCAACCAATAATCCTCCACCACCTTATCCGTCTCTTATTCATAAATGTATATTTCGCCGTTACGCCTGATTAACTTACTGGTATACATTTTTAGTGGATTTCAACTCTAACAATAGTTCTAGCGTATGGGATGTAATAATCCCGCTTGATCGGGAGAGTCCTTATGTTACTCCAAGTTTCAGAATTTTACACTTTTAGCCCTGCCCAAGGGGAAGGCCATCAAGTTAAAATTATGTAAATATAATCTTTATATTTATTAATTAATATTATTATCAAGTATTATTATCATTAAATTAACTGTTGAAATCATAGGATGCCATAACCAAAAGTTAGCAATGTTCCTAATCTGAAATAATGCAGATTATGAGTAGATCTTGAATAAGTGCGCTAGCTCGCATACTCATTGGTAGTTGAAATTTTCTATAATGATATTGACTGGGCCTTGACTACCCGCTCTTCATCACATTGTGAGTCCTGAGGAAAGTACTGGTATTATTCAAGATCTACAGAGTCTCGAAACCTACACAGTACGATTAGTTAAGCTTAGTTGTGGTATGCTATAATCTTATTCCCTCTATTTCGTTAAGGTGATGAAGGATTGTTGGCTGTTTTTTCCACAAACATATGAATAAGCTCTACGTTTCCATTGCATTTCACATAGCCCCACTTCTCAAAATGTATTCTTATTCAGATTAGACTGTAGATTCAATCTCGTATAGGTCTCCTCAATCCCCCCTGTGGGACTCGAATCATAAGGCAGCGCATAATCTTGAACCCGTACCCACTATGCCACACTGCCACGAGTCCCCTTGGATCACAGGACCAGGTATTTTCCCAACTTTGCCTCATCGACAATCCGACCACAAAATAAGTGCTTCTAAGGCCTTAAGAAATAGCGCCTGGAGTAAAAGACACACTGGGACTGGAGCCGAGTGAAATAGGTCAACGAGAAAGATAAGAAACGGATCTACGGGACAATGAAGGAGATCTCAATAGGAGGCGCAAGTCAGATTAGCCGATCGAGAGAGAGGAGGCCAAGATGAATAGCAGGTGTGATGAGGCCAAACTAAATTTGCCAAAAAATGGCGCACATTTTGACGAGTGGAATGTAAACAAGTGAGAAGTTGTGATTTGGCGGAAGTTGGATAAGAGGGTAAGGAGTGGATAGATTGGCCGTGAGAGAAAGTGGAGTGATAGTGTAACCGTTTCGGCAGAAGGTTGGTCAAGGGATTGAGTTCACTTGTATCTGACCCGTTTGTAGCTTGGTGCAAAGAATGACAATACTCACTGAGGATGACGACTAAAATTTCGGCGAAGTCTGAGAATTTACCAGGTCCACGGTCTGATGCTGGGAATTATGATAACTACACTGTCAGAGAACTTCGGACAATGTGCGTGCAACCAAGTCGCCCTGACAATAAGACCAAGTTCATACCTTCAAAGGCTATGTAAAGTTCAATGGAAACGTAAGGTTTATTCAAACCATTTATGAGATATGAATAGAAGCTGGGTTTCAAAGAATCCGTTAATCGATTGATACTGACAGATATTTCATTTCGTTGGATAAGGCGGGTCGAAGGCATTCGTAGATTGGCCTCCCCGGATACCGCAGAAGGGTTGCCTTGGACTTTTGTCCGTTCAATGGTGCGAAGAAGATTCTGAATCACCGTCCTACGATCCTGATGAATCCGTGCTGAGCTTTCATCCGTCACATGACGAACGGTGAGCCAAGGTCTTCTTTTCACGATTCAACAGACAAAAGTCAAAGGTAACCCTCCTGCGGCATCCGGTTCGGCCAATCTACGAATCTCTTCGACCTGCCTTCTCAAACGAAATGAAAGGTATACATTTATTTATATCATTGTCGGAAAATTCAGCTACCAGTATTTTGTCACCTTAACGAAATACATCGCATACATACGATCTACCCATAGGTTCGAAAACCTAATTGTAAGCGAAAAATAATTTTAGGAGTGAGTTGACTTCGTAGTCGCAACTTGATCTCGTTGTCAAGGCGATTTAGTAGAATGCACCTAGTCCGAAGTCGTCTGCCATTGTAGTTGTCATAATTCCCAGCATCAGACAGTGAACTTGGTACATTCTCAAACGTTTCACCGGTACCGTAGTCGGCATCATCAGTGAGTGCTGTCATTCTCCGCACGAAACCACGGATTCGTCAGAGACACGTGAAATCAATCCCTCGAACAACGTTCTGCCGAAAACGGTTACACTATCACTCCTATTTCTGTCCTAGCCTGATGGTGCCGATGGTGCCGACTACGATGCCGGCGAAAAGTTTGAGAATGTACCAAGTCCACTGTCTGATGCTGGGAATTATGACAACTACTATGGCAGACGACATCAGACTAAGTGCGTTCTACAAAGTCGCCCTGACAACAAGACGAAGTTGTGACGAGGTCAACCCACTTCTATAAATCGAAAGGAGACTGCAACCATACCAGAGGACACACCACCTTGGTTTCATATTTTCAAGAAAAATAATTTTATTCAGTCTGAGTCAGGGTTATACGCATCCTCTGTTGCATAAGATGCTGAAGGACCAATAATTGAATTTTCACTCAATACTTTTAGGGAATCGCAGCTAAGTGAGGTTAAATGGTGTCATAAGGCGTACTCATATGGGAAAATTCAATTATCTATTCTTCAATATATGCGACCTTGAATTTTATACTTTAACTGTTGTTGTTCCCTAGCCACTCCGGAGATTTAGTTCTGCAGGAGTGGAAATGCAAAAATGATGGAATTGGAGTAACATAAGGAGTGAAATTGGGACCGAATCAAGTATTGATGTCCAGGTTGGACAGATACTGGTCTCATCTGCAACGGAGAGGCTCACGGCCCTGAAGCTGTGGCGGATGGGTGAAAAAAAGTCGGTCCAACCTTTAAAAGCCTACCTTGCCTACGGCCTCGACTAATTCGTGTGTAATAGCGCTGTCGAAGGAAGCGTCCGAGTCGTGGCTGGGCGAGGAGCTTCTGCTCTCGACTGAGGGCGACATGTCGCCAGGCTCCGGCTCCCGATCCCTCACTCGTTCGCCCTCATCCCCTCCGCCGCATGGTCGAACAGGTTCATTCGTCCGTCTGGCCCGACCCCGTTTCCTCGGCGGCATCGCTCTTTGGCAGCAGTCGACCGCACGTCGAGCCCCCAGCGTCCGTCGGCCGCCCACAGCCTCTGCGTCAATGTCATCTTCCGTCTCTTCTGCCTCATCTGCCACCGCCTCTTCTTCCTCCTTTGCCGCTCTGTCAACCTCCGTTTGCCCAATGCCGTCGGCAGCCTCGAGACCGCCACTCGTTGACAGGCTTTTACGTCTGGCCGACGCGATTCTACGACCCGTCCATCTGCCGCCGACCGTTGTCAGACCCGGCGTTGTCGGGCCGTTGTGTTCGCGTCGTCGGCCCGTCTGACTCGGCAACTCGGTTGATCGGTTGCTAGGCGCTCGGAGACTCGAACCCAACACACCGTCTGTACGCGCCTCGGGGCAGCCTGAGGGCAGAAGCGACCGGCCAAATACACCGCAGCCCCCAACCAAGGCGCCGACCGAACCGCCTGACGGCATCGTCAACATCGACGGTAGCGCCGGAGACCGGGTTCTAACTGTCGGACCGGACGACGTCGGCGCCGGATCACTGGCCGAATCAGCGCTGAGGGAGCCAGACGAGGTGGAGGCAACGGACGAGGTGGAGGAGACGGAGGAGACGTCGAGCAGACTGCCCCGTCCGGGTGGCCAGGTACCGGTGGTTGTGGTCGCCGTCGTTGATAGCATCGTCGTCACGCCTCTGGCCGGTGTCGAAGTCGGTGCGCCGGACAATCCGACGCTCAAAGTCAACCCGGCCGGATAGTCGGCCAGGGTACCGGAGTAGCCGGTGCCGGTGAATACGTGGTAGTCGCCAACTGGCGCAGTCGCCTCTCCGCCTCCGGGACAAACGTAGCCCGACTCGGCGGTACCGGCGCCCGAGTAGACCGAATAAGCGGCTGGATAGACGGCGGGCTGTGTTGCCATGGCATCAGTATCTAGGCCCGAGGTGGTCGACATCAGACGGGGGCTCATGTAGCCCTCAGGCGTCGACAGACCTCGAGCCAAGTAGTCCCCGAGAGGCAGAGCCTCGTAGACCGGCGGTCCGAGGCCGGTGAAGCTTGAGTCTGCCGCAGGCAGACGGTTGGCAACCAGTTTACTCACCAGTCTCTGAAAGGGCGCCTCTTCTTCGCACTCCAGTCGGTAGTCGCTTGAGGCGTAGGCTCGGTAGCCAGCGCCGCCGGGGAAGAAAGCACTAGACTTTGGCGGTCCTCCCGTCGCTGTATCCGTCGCCACCGCCGTCGCCGTCGCCGTCTCCGTCGCCGTCACCTGCGACAGACCGGGTCCGTCGGCAGGCCTAACGGCTTCCAAAGAGCCGGAGTCCCGGGTCGGAGGGTTCAAGGCGGCGTGTCCTCCTGAAAGACAAATCGAGCCAGACGTCAGAGAAGAGTGGTGTCTCGAACTTGAGGCGACGTTAGTTGCTCCAAACTCCTCGCCCTCTTCCTCCTCCTCCTCCTCTTCATCTTCCTCCTCCTCTTCTTCCTCTTCCTCCTCCTCCTCATCATCCTCTTCGTCGTCGTCGCCGTCGTTTCCCGCCTCGTCGTGCCCTCCCTCCAAGCCCGGCAAGTAGGCCCGGACAGGATAGTCTGAGGCCGGAGGCAGGTTGTAGACGGCCTGTGCGTGTGTGTTGTCTTGCGAAAGGTGAGAGAGCATCACCTGTTGCTGGTGGGCGAGCTGATGGTGCGAATGCGAGCCGGGGTCGACGTTCGCCTCTGGATGTTGTTGGTGTTGGTGAGACTGGTGGAGTAGATGTTGATGCTGATGTTCGTGTTGGTGTTGGTGCTGTTGATGGTGATGGTGTGGTTGTGGATGTAAATGTTGGTGTGTGAGTGGCACTGAGAAGGCGTGACTGGGGCCGAAATGTCCGGTTGTCGCCGAGTAACCGACCTCCAGGCCGGCCTGACGACCGTCTGGGTAGTCGCTTGCGAGAAAGGCCGGTTTCGTTTGTGCCATCTCGGACGGAGCACTTCACACCTGCCTGAAATGGGACAGAGACACAAACAAGGGAAGAGTGATTGGTAGAATTGGGGAAAAAAGAAGCCCTGAATGATTAAGTGTTACTTGACTTTACAATTCCGAATAAAAGTTGCTTTGAAGTAAATAATGAATAGGTCGCATTGCAGAAGGTGTGGGAGTTGCGAATATTGGAATGAGCGAGGAAGAAGTCCTTGGCTTACAGTCCCGCGATTTCGATGAACTCATGCTAAGCTTTCGTCTGCCCTCTCGTGACAGGCAGTGACAGAGCAAAAAACCTGAAGTTGCGCCGGCATCGTCATTCATAGTAAGCAGCAAAGTGACAAGTGGAGGCAATACTGTTGGTCAATTTTCTCATTGCGCTGTATCCTCAACCCTCAAACCAAATAAATATCGCTGGACCTCGTTTTCAGATATAAAAAGAAGATTGAATTGTATTAGTTATAGCACTACCAGTTTTGGTCGGGGACTCTAACAAGAGTGTGATAAATTACATTTGGTTTATTATAAAAGTATGCTATATGGTAAAGTGTGGCTGTTCGCTGACGATGTGTAACATGACAGACGAAAGCTAATCTCAGATGCACCGGGGTCGCAAGACGGTGAGCCGGGGACTCCTTCACATCATCCAACAATCTTATTTTTCCGAGGCAATCCTCCTTCGGTTTCCAGAGGAGTCAATTCACGAACATCTTCCAGTCAACTAATATTAGCCCGTTTGACTAACGCGAACTCTGGCAGTCGGGCCGATCGGCCACAGACTTAAAAGGTCCAGTACCCAATGATCTGGCTAGCATCAGACCGTTCATGGACTTACTCAACCCCTTAGGAAGGACAAATCTCACCTTCCCCTAAAGCATTGTTTGCGCAGTCCGATGCACACTCATCAAACGGGGCAACTCTTGGTACGTTGAAGTTGGACGGCTGAGTATCGTTCTGCAGCCGTTTGGCTCTACTACAAAGTTCAGGTTGACGCAGTCCATGACGCATCATCCCGCTTTTTACCTGGGCCTCTGTGCCTCCTATTACAGAATTTCTTCATTCGGTATGTATATATATATATAT